GACGCCGAAATAAAGTGGTCGGAGCTCTAGACACCCTGTGCAAGAGAACACACACACCCCCTCAATCGTCACCCCCCTCTTTGCCGCCCCCGAGAGGGGGCCGGCCCGGGCCCAGGACCTTCCAGCGCCCGGGTGTAGGCGGAGGAAGAGGAGGCAGAGGCGGAGGAGGCGGAGGCGGAGGCGGAGGAGGCGGAGGAGGCGGAGGAGGCGGAGGACGGGGAGGAGCGGGGGAGGAGGAGGACAGGGAGGAGGAGGAGGAGGTGGAGGAGGAGGAGGAGGAGGCGGAGGAGGAGGAGGAGGAGGAGGTGGAGGAGGAGGAGGAGGAGGAGGAGGAGGAGGAGGAGGAGGAGCAGGAGGAGGAGGAGGAGGACTGGCTGCTTTCACAGCCTCTTGGGCTCATGCGGGGCCCTCGCCCGGCCCCGCGGGGGGCCGTGCGGTGCGCCGGCTCGGCCGGGCGGGCCGGCCTCGGGGCCAACGGCCGGGGCCTTCGGGAGCCCCAGCTGATCGAGCAAGAGAGGGCAGCGGGCTCCTGGCGAGGGAGGGAGGGATATATGAGGAATTGGTTGACTGGTGTCTTGGTTGAGTGGTGCATGAAGGAGGAGGCACGTTTGGACCCCTCCCTGCAGCCGTCTTCGTTGGCCGAGGGGCTGCAGGGGGAGGGAGGGAGAGGGGGGCGAGGGGCCCGGGGGAGGGGGCTGGGGGGAAAAAGGGTCTTGGGAAGGAGGCTGGAGTTCACCAAAAAGGGCCACGGGAGGGAGAGACGGGGAGGGCATCAGGGAGACAGGATGCACGCGGAGGAAGCCGACGACCACGACACAAGGGGGAGGACAAGAATGAGGATGAGGAAGGATATTAGGAGGACTAGTAACATGCTACCTAGATTTTCGCAATGGCGATGAAGGAAACATAAGGCGGAGGAGGAAAGAGGGACGATAGGTGAAGGATGGAAATTAATGAGGATGGAGGACGGGAAGGAGAGAGAGAGCCAGAAAGAGAAAGAGAGAGAGAGAGAGAGAGCGAGGGGACGATAAGCGGGATCGAAAGCTGAAAGAGGGGAGTAGGATCGAAGCGCTGGAGGAGGGGAGAGAGAGAGAGAGAGATGGGGGATCGAACAGCTTGAGGAGGACGAGACGGAGGAGAAGGAGCCGGAGAAGGAGCAGGAACGATTGGATAAGGAGGCGGAGGAGGAGGAACGATGAACGCTAGCACGACGAGGAGGAGGAGGAGGAGCAAGAGGAGGAGAAGTCGGCGGCGGAGGAGGAGGTGGAGTAGGAGGAGGCCTTTGCTGTTGGGCAGGCGGTGGGTCGCTGCCGAAGCCGCGCAGGCCCCAGCAGGCGCAGGCTGGCGGCACTGCCTCCGCGAGGGCCTCATCGCCGGCCGAGGCGACCGCGGCGAGAAGGTCTTCACGACGGCGGCGGCGACGACGAAGGACGACAGTCGGCGGCTTGCCGAGGGCCCACTCCTGGTCCCCGAGGGGAGGTTCGGGGAGGTCCGAGTCGACGTGGCTCCTCGTCCCGATCCTCCTGCTCCTTCTGCGCGTCCTCCTCGCTGTCTTCTTCACCCTCCTCCTGCTCCTTCTCCTCCTCCTCCTCCTCCTCCTCCTCCTCCTCCTCCTCCTCCTCCTCCTCCTCCTCCTCCTCCTCCCCCTCCCCCTCCCCTCCCCTCCTCCTCCTCCTCCTCCTCCTCCTCCTCCTCCTCCTCCTCCTCGTCCTCCTCTTCCTCCTCCTCCTCCTCCGTCTCCTCCTCCTACCCTGCTCGTCCTCCCGAGTCGGCGGCGCGCCGAAGGGGGGGACTTCTCGGCGCTTTCCGGCGGCTTCGCCGCTCACCGTCCGACCGACGGCGGCACCGCTCCCGCGGGGGGCCTCCGTCGGCCAGGCGGCCGCGGCGAGGTGTTTCGGGTGTTTCGGGGAGGAGGACGAGGATGAGGAGGGGGAGGAGGAGGAGGAGGAGGAGGAGGAGGAGGAGGAGGAGGAGGAGGAGGAGGAAGCAAGAGGAGGGGGACCACTGTGGAGGATGAGCAGGAGGGTGGGGGAGGGGCGGAGGCCCGAGAGATGGGGAGATGGAGAGACGGAGAGGACGCACGTGCTCTGCCGCGGATTCTTCCTTTCGGGGATGGACAGACCTCCCTTTAGCAAAACGTGGTTTGGTGAAAACGACCTGAGGCCCAAACCTGGCGGGCGCAAGCCTGGAAAGTGACGGCCACGGCGCCCTCTCGAGAAGCGAAAACGGACAATTCACTGATCGACGTGTCACTGTTGGGGGTTCTGTCCAGCCCCGAGTGTTCACGAAGGTGGGGACGGTGGCGGCAGACGGTAGCGGCAGACGGCGGCGGCAGACGGCGACGGCCCCAGCACCGGCACCGACCGACGACAACGACACTGCCTCCGCGAGGGTCTCCGTCGGCCAATCGGGCGAGGAAGTGCCCATGAAGGCCCACGACGGCGGTGGCGGCAGACGGCGGCGGCAGACGACGGATGACGATGAAACTGACGCCGACGACGACAAGCGGACCCGCAAGCCAGGAGGTTGCGGCCGAAACTACGAGCCCGCCGCGAGAGACAGGGACGCGAGGGGGGGAGCTCCACCCTAGACCGTGATGACGACGAGGACGACCTCTCACCATTACGGACAAGGAGGCGCAGATGAGGAGGAACAAAATGAGGAGGAGGAACGAAGCTCGAGGAAGAGCAGGAGGAGGAGGAGGAGGAGAAGGAGGAGGAGGCAGGCGAGCCAGTCCGCCTGGACGACGGAAAAGTGAAGTCCGCGGCAGGCCGAACGGGGGCAGCTGCTCGGGGCAAGCCTTCCGAGAGGGCCGCCCTCACCTTGGAGGGCGTCGGGGGGCGTTTGGCCAAGGGTGCCCGGCTCTTCCCCGCGACCCAGCGCGTCGCGGCGGCGGCCCCCGCAGCACGCCATGCCCTGCGAGCTGCTGACGTGTCGCTCCGCTTCGCGGGGCGGGCGGCCGGGGCGCTGACGTCTGGAAGCAGAGGGCGCGGCTGTAGCTGCCGTGTCGCACTGGCATAAACAAGGCCGCGACACGCGAAGCAAAACTTCCTGACGTGGCAAGGCCGCCCAGCCCCGGCCCCCCCCAAGCTATCTCGCCGCTGGAGGGCAGTGTGGGCTGGGAGTGGGGCGCACCCCGACGCCGCCCGGGACGTCAGAAGCAGGCCAGGGACCAAGCACGCTGTGAAATGAGGAGCAGGTCGAAACTGGTATCAGGGAAAGGGGAGGAGGAGGAGGAGGAGGAGGAGGAGGAGGAGGAGGAGGAGCAAGAGGGGGGGGACCAATGTGGAGGATGAGCAGGAGGGTGGAGGAGGGGCGCAGGCCCGAGAGATGGAGAGATGGAGAGATGGAGAGGGCGCACGTGCTCTGCCGCATCTTTTTCCTTACCCGTCCCTGATCATCCTCGAGGTCTGCTACGGTGGAGGTTTTAGATACGCACGCCTTCGATAAGGAACCCATAGTCTCGCATGCCCGATGGGCGGCCAAACGTGGGCCACCCACCTCCCCTTGAAAGACTTAGGAATGCGCCAGGGTCTGGGCCCCAGGAAGACGTTCCTTCTCCAATGCCGCCGCCGTACCCTTAGTGAAGTCTCGAGAGTGAGAGGCGGAAGACAAGTCACGACAGCAGCGGGGCACGAGTAGCGCATCGTCGGCTCCGTGGAGAGGGGCTCCTTGATCTGCGGACTATGCAGGGAGTGCGGGAACACTTCGAGGTTCCCCAAAGCTAGAAAGACTCTTCAGACTGCGAGGTGCATGCTCTTTGCCATCCTCCCCATCTCAACTCCTGACTCCTCACCCATTTTCGAACAAGCGGTCATCATACGGGCTACGTTTCTGAAGCGCCAGGGGCCAGGTAAGTCTGAACCAACGGGGTTACAGCCTGCAGTGGCAACAGTACACACAGCCAGTCCCAGCGACAAGAGACATGGAGACAAGACAAATCGCCCAACCCCTCCACCTCCGACATCTCTTCCTCCAAAAATATCATCCGCAATCCTCCGTCTGCTCTTCCTTTCCCTCCTCTTCCTCCCCCCACAGCCACCAACGTTTTCTTTAGGATGCCCGTGAACAATTCGATGTTCCAAAATTCGGGCAGGGTTACGTGTCTGCTGGGAAGGAAATGTCACCCACCTTGGGAACAGGAGATACTCGAATTACATACTAGACGTGAGAATCCGGATCACGACAAATTGTGACATCCTGCAAAGCGAACCGCTAACAATGAATTAAGTGAACCGCGATACAGCTTTCAAGGTTAAGTCAATTCGGATCCGATATTCCACTTCACATTGCAGCGTCCGCAAGAGACCTGGCGACCAGCCAGAATGTCCACTCTTTCTCAGAGGAGCGCGTGAGCCAACTATCCTTATCCCCTTCCGACGCCCTGACGGGAAGCAGACGAAAGAGGAACGGGAGGACCCAGAGGACCCAGAGGATGATGACGATGATGAGGAGGAGGGAGAGGAGAGGAGGAGGAGGAGGAGGAGGAGGAGGAGGAGGAGGAGGAGGAGGAGGAGGAGGAGGAGGAGGACGACGTGGACGAAGGAGACCTGGGGGAGGGCAAGGAGGAGGCGGAGGAGAAAGAGGGTAAGGCTTCCTCGTGAACCATTCAGTCGGGGCTTGCCACGTATACGCATGTTGCGACGCATGGTACACGTATGAAGAATGGCAGGCGACGAAAGACAGGGGGGGGACGAAAAGGGCGATGTCCTGCAACGGAGCGCCCAATGATGCCCCGCAGACCAGGTGAGAGACGGCTCCGTCGGCAAACTGGGGCGAGGGGGGCAAGGCGGACGAGAACGAGGAGGAGGAGGAGGACGACGATGACGACAACGAGGTGGAGGTTCAGGGGGACGAGGTGGAAGAAGAGGAGCATGGCGAGGAGGACGACGAGCAGGCGGATGGCGAGGAGGACGGGGCCGCCACCGCCGCCGCCGCCGACAGCGACGACGACGCCGACGCCGACGCCGCCGCGCCGCCGCCGACGACGACGACGAGGCCTCGGTCTTGCAGCGGCAGTCGAGCGCGCTCCGCAGGCAGAAGGGCGCTGGCCGCCTGGCGTCTCCTCTCGGGGCCCTGGGGCCGCGCGGGGTCGCGCTCCAGCCGCGCTCCGGCCGCGCCGGGGGGCGCTCGGGGTCGCAGCACCTCGCGGGCGAGGCCGCCGCTGCGCCACCTTGCGAGAGAGGGCGCGGGGAGTGGAGTGGAGTGGCAAACCCAAAGGCGAACGAGTGATCCCGCCGCCCTGGGCCGTCCGCGCACCGCGGACGCTGCGGCGCGCTCACAGGCGCGGCGCTGGGCGGGGGGCCCCACCGACAGGGGGACGTGGTGAGTGGCCAACCCCCCGCCCACCCGACCGCGAGGGCTTACGCCTCGCAAGGCGGCCTCGCGGGCCTGCTCCCCATTAGGAGCTCTCCGCAAAATGCGGGCTGTGTCCTCCGCGAAGCCCACGATGCTGGCTGCAGCGGCCCCTCCCCCAGGTATGCCCCGTAGGGCTCCCATCCAGGGTATGGGGCCTGCTCCCCATTAGGAGCTCTCAGCCCGAGGCTGGCTGTCTGTCCCCTCCGCTGAGCCCTGCCCGCGCCATCTCGGCCTCCAGGACGGGGAGGAGGAGGAGGAGGAGGAGGAGGAGGAGGAGGAGGAGGAGGAGGAGGAGGGCGAACAGGCGGAGGAGGAGGAGGAGGATGCGGAGGCGGAGGCGGAGGCGGAGGAGGAGGAGGAGGAGGAGGAGGAGGAGGAGGAGGAGGAGGAGGAGGAGGAGAGGCATCACCTCCATCACCCCCTCCCCGACCAAGTGGGTGCATCCCGCCGTCTTTGGTCCGCGGGCGCCACGGTGTGCGAGACGGTCAAGCGCTGGTCAAAGCGATCGGTGGGCTGCACCAGAAGCGAATACAGGCACGAAGTGAAAGGGCAAGAGACGAGGGCAGAGACAAAGATACGGGGCCCGATCAGACCATGAAGGTCGGCGCGGGAGTGTTGGGAGGGCGTGCAGCTGGGTACGAGCAGCAGGTCACCTGCCAGAGGTGGAAGTCCTTGTGGGAGGAGAGGGGCACCACGATGTTCGGGGGGCAAAGCTGGTGCCGTGGGGGCTCGGAAAGCAGCACTTGAGCAGGGAACCCTTCGTGTTAGAGGCTGGACGTCCGGGTATCGTGTGAAGTTGTCACACAGATAAGACTGGGCTCTGGAGCCGACCTTGTAAAAGAAACCATGAAGAGGACGATGGCAACCTGGAACTGGAGGTACATGGAGCGAGCGGAGGAAGCCCGGCACCAGCAGGACACCGGCAAAACCGCGGCGAAGGGGCCAATCTTCAAGAGGAGCACTTGAAGTGGCCGATGAAGTCTGGGTGCACGCCGAAGCGGCAGTGGATATCTCCAGGGTGAATGCCGAAAAGACGGGACACTCCAACAATAAGACCGGGGTGCGGAGAGCCTAAACGGGTGCACGAGACGGCCAAAAGCAAAAGGACCACACCCCAGCGCTGGGCGATGGCCGAGATGGGCGACAAGGTCGGACCACAGGGGCGCATACTATATGCCCGAACGGCAATTGCTATATGATGCTTACTCTCCTCCTGTCTGTCTTCTTTTTGTCTGCTGCGCCCACCTGGGTCTTAGTGGCTGGCCACAGCGACGAAGCCGGTGTTTTGTGCTGCATGCAACCTGCCGCTCTCCCGTACCATCGGAACGCTGCGAGCCCCGATGGTATGAGTCTGGCCGACGCAGAAGGAGGGGGAAGGACGAGGAGGAGGCGGAGGCGGAGGCGGAGGAGGAGGAGGAGGAGGAGGAAGAGGGTGGTGGTGGTGGCTGCTCCAGAGCCATCCAGCAGACAAACTAGACACTAGAATATGGCGCGCGCCTCTGCTTCACCCCAAACGCCACTGAACATGCGCATCCTCACTTCTCCTCCATTCGACCCTGTCCTGTGCCTGCTCAATCAATTCGACGGAGGAAGATCAAGAGGAGGAGGAGGAGGAGGAAGGGAGGGGGAGGAGGAGATGGAGGATTCGAGGGTCTCGAGCATGAGCTGAACCGATCCGCATCTTGAGTCTTGAGATGGACGATCAAATTACGCGGGTCTCTTCACAAGTAGCGGCCTCAGCACATCCAAGCCCACAGCCAGAGGAGGACGAGGAGGAGGGGGAAGTGGAGGGAGCAGGCAGATGGGGAGGGAGGAGGTGGAGGGGTAGGACGAGGATGGGGAGGCGCATGATGACGGAGAAGAGGCCACCTGCGATCTGCGGTTCTGGCATCGCCGCGGTCCCGAACTGCATGCCCCGGTGTAAATCACAAGAAAGTATGGCAGAGCGAAAACCAGAATGGCTATGAGCAGAAGGACGATGATGAGGAGGAGGAGAGAATGACGACGATAATGATGAGGATAAGGGGGACCGAGAAGGAGAAGGAGGAGGAGGAGGAGGAAAAGGAGGAGGAGGAGGAAGAGGAGGAGGAGGAGGAGGGGCAATGCGAGAGGAAGGCGGAGGAACAGGATGAGGACGATCTGGATCAATACGCAGAGGAATACCACGAGGATGAGGACGAGGAGAAGGACCCGGAGCTCGGTGGGAGGGTGAAGTGGAGGAGGAGGGGAGTTACGAAGAGGAAGACGAAAATCAGTAGGAGGAGTCTACATATGTCTAAGAAGGGAGGCCTAAGAAGGGAGGCGGGCAAAGGGAGATGATTGGCACCAAGGGAGGCCAGGGATGAAGGGAGGGACTGGGGGGAAAGGAAGTGAAGGGGGAGGAGCATCAAGGAGGAGGTGGAGGTGAAGGAGGAGGTGCAGGAGGAGGAGGGGGCAGGGGAGGTAAAGGGCGCGAATGCAGAGGGTGCTGAAGAGGAGGCCGCGGGCGAGGAGGAGGAGGAGGAGGAGGAGGAGGAGGAGGAGGGGAGGAGGAGGAGGAGAGGAGAGGCGAGGAGGAGGAGGAGGCGGAGGAAGAGGAGGAGAGGAGGAGGAGGAGGAGGAGGAGGAGGAGGAGGAGGAGGAGGAGGGAGGAGGAGGAGGAGGAGGAGGAGGAGGAGGAGGAGGAGGAGGAGGAGGAGGAGGACGAGGAGGCAGCGGAAAACAAGGAGGCTCCGCGGTGCAGAGGTGGCGACGGGGGCGCCGAGGCGTCCTGAGGCCAGCTTGCGGAGGAGGCGGCGGCCAAGGGGGAGGCCGAGGGCGGAGGGCGATGGCCAAGGCCCCCCCGGAGGCCAGCTCGAGGAGGAGGAGGAGGACAAAGTGCCCCGAGGCCCCTGGAGGCCAGCTTGAGGAGGAGGCGGCGGCCAAGGGGGAGGACGAGGGCGGAGGGCGATGGCCAAGGCCCCCCCGGGGGCCAGCGTGAGGAGGACGAGGAGGAGGACGAGGGCGCCGAAAGGCCCCGAGGCGGGCCTGAGCCGAGGCGCCCGGAGACGGGAGAGGGAGAAGAGGAGGCCAGCTTTTGGGGGGGGAGGGGGGGAGGTTCGTCGCCACGGCCGCATTCGCCTCGGGCTCCCGGTCAGGATGCACCCCGAGAATATGACGGGGAGTACGGCAGGTTCGCGTGGTGTCGATGGGCAAACAAGTCGTAAAGCGAGAGTCAGGCACAGCGCAATTGCCGCTGGCGACGCGCAGGTAAAGAAAGCCACAAGAGGAAGAGGGCGAAAGAGCAACGAGAAGAGGGCGCACACACACATACACACACACGCACACACACACACACACACACACACACACACACACACACACACACACACACACGCACGCACACACACACGCAACAAATACTGAATGTTGTTCCGCGACGCTAGGATGTCAGGGAGTAGGGGGGAGGGGGAGGCGGAGGAAAACGAGGAGATCGGGCACGAGATGGAGGATGCGCAGCGGCGGACGACGACATGGGAGCAGAAACGAAGGAACGGGCGGACTGGGCGCCCGCGGCTCTGCAGGCACCCTGCGAGCCAATCGTCAGCCGCGGGAGGGCGAGGAGGAAGAGGAGGAGGAGGAAGAGGAGGAGGAGGAGGAGGAGGATGAGGAAGAGGAGGAGGAAGAGGAGGACGGAGGAGGAAGAGGAGGAGGAAGAGGAGGAGGAAGAGGAGGAAGGAGGAGGAAGAGGAGGAAGGGTGAGGGAGGAGGAGGAAGAGGAGGAGGAAGAGGAGAAGGTCATCAATCTTCGACTCAGCCTCAACTTAACGCTTACAGCAGCGCTGCCGTCGTTTGCCCTACTGCTAGACTTGCCGCTTCACCGCCACCTCTTAGATTCGCCCTCAATCTCCTCCTCATTGCCTCTCGCATGCTCTGCCACTTTTATGTGTAACTCACCAACAACTGAAACAATTGTATAAACGCCGACGGCTCGGGAACCGCAAGTACGCTTGCCTCAGCGGCCGCCGTTTGGCGCTTTCCATGGGTGGGGGAGAGGCCTTTGTGCCGTTCCACCTTGGCGGGTGTGACTTGCCGCGCCTGCCCTTACACGCTGCCGCCACCGCTGCGCCACCGTCACACCGCCGCGCACCTTGGGGGGCATCGCAGGGGGGTGGAAAGGGCCACGAGCTGCTGGCTGCCCTGGCGATGGCCAGGGCGGCTGCTGGCACCACGGCCGCCGCCGCGGAAGGCACAAGCCTCCCCCGCGCCAAGTGGAACCCCCACGGCGGCCCCAGGTAATTACTCCAGGAACCCTACGCCTGCCTCGAGGCTTCCCTTGGCGGGACTGTGGGCCGTCGGCTGGGGCTTCGGGGGGGGACAGGCCTTTGTGCCTTTCCACCCTGGCGGGGCGTGGCGTGGTCAGGCCCGTCCTCTGCGCCGCCACCACCACCTCCGCCAAGCCCCCACTGGTGTCGCTGCGCACTCTGCTAGCTTCGCTTCAGGTCTCGCAAGCTGTCGCCGCCGCCGCTGCAGCCCCCTCGTTCTCTTCCCCTTTGGAAGTTATCATCTAATTTCGTCCTTTTCTTCTCTCTCTCTCACTCTCTTTCTTTGCTGCCGCTTCCTTTTGCTCTACACTCTACCTGCTATGCCAGCCGGCAACACCTAGGGCGACCTCCCCAAGCGTCGCCTGGCTTACTAGTTTGATCAACCCCCCCCGGGCCGCCCGGCCCTTTGGGGGACGGGGGGGGGCGACCTTTCTGCCTTCAGGATTTCAAGATTTCAGGCGAAGAAGGAGGAAGAGGAATGACTCCAAGGGAATCCATTGTTTCGGCGAGCGCCCGAAAGGGCTGCCGAGGC